AGTTTTATTGTTCTTTTCTGTTTCTTTGTCCATCTTCACTTACTGCAAGGAGAGGGAAGCCCATCTCTTTTCTCACCACGGCTATAGAACTGACCTAGATCACAAGATGTAACTTTCCACCCAGCTATCTGGTCGATTGTGACTAAATGATCTTCTGAATGCGTGTGAAGTTAAATAAAGATATTTTAAGCTCTCCTCAGTGGTTGTGCGTTGACTCATACCTAGAAAGCGTTGGCTTAGCGCAACTTGCACTGGACAGGACAATGGACTAGAATCTTTTTAATATTTGTGGTGTCATAACAGTAACGAGATTTTCTGTGCATGTATATGAAGTGCACTTGAGTCCTTTCCGACTTGTGACGACTCTATGAATTAACGTCCTCCAAAACGTCCCATCCCTGGCAGCCTGGCTCAGGCCTTGCATACGGAGGGGCCCTCGTGGCCGCCTGGATGGAGTCTGTCCATCCCATGTTGGGTTGACTCAGTCAAGGAAGCCACAAAGGCCCTCGGTATTTTACGCATTCTGAAAGGGGGGAAAATCCAGAGGGGTTTTTTTCCTAAGTGCCCCGCCTCAATTTCCCAATTTTACCATAAAATTGGAAAAAACTTGTACAAAAATTAAAGGCACTCCCCTCCCCCCCCCCCCCCCCCCCCCCCCGTTTCTTCCTCCAGGCCTTCACCTCTCTGGGCATGCTGAAAGGCTTTTCCCATCCATCCTTCCCTACCTGAAGGGATGCAGACAGCATGGGCTGAACCCCAGGCACACCGCCCTCCATGCCAAGGAGTTCCAGGACTGCTGCATCTGAGCACAGAGGCCACGCGGGTGTGTAGTTCTGCCTACAGGCTGCCATATGTGGTGGGCTCAAATGAAGGGAAAACATTCTTTAGGAATCTCCAAAAATGATGAACAGGAAGGAAGGAGATGGCTGCTTTGGAGGCTGGACTCTGTGGCATTGTGTCCTGCTGAGGTTGCTCCCCCTCCCCAGGCTTTACCCCTAAAATCTCCAGAAAATTCCCAAGCTGGAGTCGGGGACCTTCACTGTGACTCCCCTCCCCCTTGAGTACGTGTGATGGCTCAAAAGGGGGAACAATGTTGTGCCTTTAAGTCAAGCTCTAGACCAGGGGTGGCCAAACTGCGGCTCTTTCACACTTAGTGTGCGCCTCCCGGCAGGGCGGCTTCCGAAACAAAGGAGAGGCCTGCCTCCCCGATCTCCTTTCCCCAGCCAGTTTCCCCCTCCCTGGGTAGGCTTGAGGGGGGGAAAGCAGAGAAAGAAAGCAACTTTTAACTTTGAACGCGTTCTCAAAGCACCCCCCTCCCCAGCCAGCTTGGAGAAAACATTTGTCTCTTTAAATATCTGTTTTCACCCCGTCTGTTTTTATTTCTGGCAGTCTTATTTAATGTTAATAAAAGCGAATCTGCATATTTTCCAATAAAAACGTGTCTGTAATATTTGTTCATGTTTTGTGGCTCTCAGACAGCTGATGTTTCCTCTGTGTGGCTCTTACGTTAAGCAAGTTTGGCCAGTCCTGGCCTAGAGGCTTCCAGATCAAGACTCTGCTCAGGCATGGCGGAGTCTGCTGGCTTGAACGCTGAGAGGCCATGAAAAAACACAAACTTTTCCACTGCGGAGACATCGCTTGGCCCAGGTTAAAGCAATCTTGGCGTTTGGGGGAACTACTGGAGATAGGGGCTAGTTTGCTTCCGTGGCTTTTGTGTCCTCCAATCATAAGCTCATCCTTTGAGAAGCCTGTAAGGAACGGTTCAACAGGCCTCAAGGATACCGCTACAGGGGTGCAAACCGAACGGGCAATGCAGGTGGTCTATGTATGTGTAAGCTCCCCTAAGTTCAAATAAATTTGGCACTTGCGCCAGTGTTTTAATAGAAAGCATCATAAACAGACAGGCTTAAGGCCATTAAAACAAATCTCTCTCCATGCAGTGCAGTAAAAAGACTCGGGGGAGACGTTTCCTGTGAGTATTTTGGATAGCAAAATGAACATGGGAAGGAATTATTGGACCACCATGGGAGGTCTGGGGTTTTCATGCCAAGTTTTCACACCGCCAAATGTTATTCCTGTTCCGTGTATCAAGACATCAGGATGTGGTTTTCCAAGCCCCTTTTTGAAGTTCGAGTACAGACCAAGTCAAAACGCACCCCGGTGACGTGTAGATTGTGAACCGGGATTAATACAACTTTGCTCTACGAATTACTTACCAAGGGTGCCAAAGCTGAAAAAAGGCAAGCGGGGATTGGAAACTCCACCCCCCCATGCAAAAAAGAAGTCAGCAGCACATGAATAAGAGTTCCAGTTAAACCTTCTGGTTGGGTAGCTGTGTTAGCTTGCTGCAGCAAGAAAGTGTTTTAAAAGGTTTGTGACAACTTAAAGACTTAATTAAGCTACTAAGACGTTATTAAAAAGGATGGAGTCACACCAATCCAAGATGCAAAAGGAGAAAGGATGCGGCTTGAGTTAAAGACAGGTGGCAACGCAAACTGTAATCCAAAAGGAACCACTTGGGATAGTCATCGGTAACTTTGTTGAAAAAAGGCAAGCGGGGATTGGAAACTCCACCCCCCCATGCAAAAAAGAAGTCAGCAGCACATGAATAAGAGTTCCAGTTAAACCTTCTGGTTGGGTAGCTGTGTTAGCTTGCTGCAGCAAGAAAATGTTTTAAAAGGTTTGTGACACCTTAAACACTTAATTAAGCTACTAAGAGGTTATTAAAAGGGATGAAGACACACCAATCCAAGGTACAAAAGGAGAAAGGATGCGGCTTGAGTTAAAGACAGGTGGCAACGCAAACTGTAATCCAAAAGGAACCACTTGGGATAGTCATCGGTAACTTTGTTGCTGAACCCAATCACGGGGAAATAACTATTATAGAGAGAATTTGACATCTGTGGGTTGAAAAGGTAAAAAGCACTCCCACCTTTTATGGTCCCAAACAATTCCTTTCAGAAAGTAGTTTTACAGCACAATCCCATGCGTGTTTACTCAGAAGTGAGTTTCACAGAAGTTAATACTCCCAGGTGAGTACGCAGAAGGACTGCAGCCTGATTTGATCTTGAAAAACAAGGATCAGCTCAGAAATGCTTCAATATGGGCTTTGTGATCTCTCTCTGGGTGAACCGTATGAGATTACCAGGTAACAAAGGACAAGGTATTATGAGTTTGAATCCCTGTGGCACAATTATTATTATTATATAATTTTTTTAAAAAAACAAAAACTTAAAAGGATAGCAACTGGAAGAATCTGTGCATCTTCAGAGTAAATCCAAGTTTTGCTTCCTAGTTCTCACTTTCTGCTTCTGAGGGCTTTTGCCATCCCCGTGGCTGCCACTGCTATTTGCTCCAACGTGGCATTACACATTTTAAAGAAATGACTTCAGCCGTGGTTACAGTCACAAATGTATTTGCGCCTCTGTGTTACAACAATGCAATGACATCAATGTGACCTGTTGTCATTTCCATGGGAGTCTGGTGGTTCAGCACAGTAGGATGAAGCCAAGGGCTAGATTAAAAGCAGGGTTGCCCAGTCCCTCCAGGTAGCCAGCTGGGGATCGGGGAGCTTACCAGGAGAAAAAGAAAGGCCCAGGCCACACGGCCAGCATCACGTAGGAAGTGATATCATCACGCCAGTGACTTCTGGGCAACGTTCTGGTATTTGGGCAAAAACTCTATGGTAAAACCAGCTTCCACCAGAGTTTTTGCCCCGATACCAGAACATTGCTCAGAAGTCGCTGGAGTGATAACGTAACTTCCTGTGCACCGCCAGCAACATGGCCCCCTCCCCCAGGGGGTCTGGCAACCCTCTTTAAAAGCTTTATTCAAGTGCATAGGGGGAAAGACAACTCAGTTACATTTACTACCCAATTCAATTATTGCTCATAAGCAAAGGAGTAAGTTGAGTTCAAAAGTCATGTTGTCTGGGCATTCAGTATGGTGGGACCATAAAATCTTTCTTTTTTAAATAGAAATTAAGATACCTGCTTAATATACATAACAATGTTAACTTCCTAGTTAATATTTGGCAAACACTGTACAAAAGAAAATATAAAGTCTTATTGAACAGCTAATGTTTCTCCAGAGCAACACCAACCAACAGAAACATGCTACACAGACTGGAAAAGACTGCTCTCGTGCGTTACTAAGGGGGAAAATAGTCTCTGCTCAGTGACTCTTCTTGTTCAAGACTACAGGAAGGGAATAATCTCATGCAGCAGCCTGCTCTATCGGGCTCCAAAGCTGTAGTAGTAGGGATCATCTGGTCGATATCCATAAGCAGTGGTGGGGCGGCTTGGGATACCTACGGGCTGGCCAAATCCATCCATCGCAACGCTGCACAGAAAAGAAAAGATGGTTGAGTTGACATTTGCATTATAAGATGTTTCAGTATACAAAACTTAACTTGGAAGACTTCCTCTAACGCCAACCGTATGCTGGATGCTCAAGTCCCTGTCCAATTTGAGGTTTTCCCTGCATGTGTCATTACATCAGTTGTGTGCCCGTACTGTATTGGTTTTTTTTCTTTTTTGCATATGTTTTGCTCCCTCTAGTGGTCGCTTCAATCTTTCCTACCTGTGTCTTTTTACAAGCACTTAGTGCTCATAAAAATAACAGAGAACAGCCAGGGTGTCGAACTCATTTGTTATGAGGGCCGGATCTGACATGAATGAGACCTTGTTGGGCCGGGCCATGTGTGTCATAAAATGTAATGCCAGGTAGCAGAGATACAAACTTTATAAAGGACACAAACAAAAAGGGTTTTTTTACTTAAAATAAAAATATGCTTAAAACATTAGCATTCTTGCAATATTTTGTTTAACAGTGTCTGATAACTGACACCTCTTGCTCTGAACTATTGCATCAAAATGTCTGTGCTGTTGCAATCTTGAGTATGCTGTTTAGGTGTGTAACTGTAAGCTGCAAACCTACGATGATGGAGCAGCAGAACTGGAAGAAGTAGAAGACAGCCAGTTCCACTGCGGGCCTGATAGAAGCCCTCTGAGGGCCTGATCCGGCCCCCGGGCCACATGTTTGACACCCCTTCTCTAGAGGAAGCAAACCATGTGCGGAAAAGAAAACCCCCAATGCAGTATGGGCACACAATCGATGAAATAACGCATGTGGGAAAACCCTGAGAGTACTTCCGCAAACAACTGCTCATGCAAGCAGTCTACCTGTGGGAGCAGTAAAAACATGGAGGAAGCAACTCATGTTTGCCTCTCGTCTGTAAACTGAAAAAAACTGCAAGTTGCACATTTTCCAATTTACAAAACAGGAATCATGATCTTATTTTACTTTGTGCTTCAAGCATCTCATGTGAGGACTGGTCCTGTGGGTAAAGTTTTTGATTGTGGGACGGTATAAGAGGAGGATGGTGGTCTAATAAGGAAGAAGCATGAATGAGAAACAGCACACGGCACAGGAGCACAGCACTAGGGAAGGACAAAACACTTCTGGCTGCCAGCTATATGTTGCAGGTGAAAAGGGGTGTGTGTGCGTGGCAATTAACTCACCCGGGGAAACAGCCCACTGAAGGGAGCGAAGTCGACTGATTCTGCTCACAAGCAAATTTGCATCTTTATGGTGAAAGGCATCTTAAATTTGTCATATTCATTACACTTACCTTTGCCAAGACTCTTAGCTAACAGAATCTGGCTAGTTAGCGCAGCTATGATATCATTTTCATAGGATATGACACTGTAGATACCTGCTTTGAATGTAAGCATAACCTCTTATGCCAGTTTGGTGTCGTGGTTAAGTGCGCGGACTCTAATCTGGGAGAGCCGGGTTTGATTCCCCACTCCTCCACTTGCACCTGCTGATGTGACCTTGGATCAGTCACAAGCTCTGGCACAGCTGTCCTTGAGAAAGAGCAGTTCTCTCAGAGTTCTCTCAGACCCACCCACCTCACAGGGTGTCTGTTGTGGGGAGGGGAAGGGAAAGGAGTTTGTACGCCGCTCTGAGACTCCAAGTGAAGGGCGGGGTATTAATCCAATCTCTTCTCTTCTTCTTCTCTTGGCCCATTTGATTTTCAGAAAAACCTGGGGTGAATGGGAGGCATTCTTTAAGAATGTGGTTCAGGAATCCAGGGACTGATAACAAGTTCAAGAAATTCTGACAACCTGAAAGTGGGGCAGCTACGTCTCCTACAGGCAGACAACTGGATTCACCCATATGCAGTTGATCCATACAGTATTATTTCCACAGGCCTCACATATGTTCTATGTAACTTTTACCTGTTCACACATCTTAATTTTGTCAAGAATTCCATGTAACAGTTCTTAACAGAATTAAAAACTGCAAACACAACGAAGGCCTATGATCTCGCTGAGCAGTTTCCTCAGATCCTCCGTTTGCGATTCAGGAGCTCCCTGGAATCTGAGGATCATGTTGGCTTTTTCCATTTGTAGCTGTAGCAAACAGTTTTCTTGGAAGTTTTGTTTTGCTTCAACTTCCCCCATTCTTTTCTTCATTTTCTTGTTTGTGGTGTCTATCTCTTTAATTCTCTCAGTCGCATGTTCCACCTTCTTTGCCGTTTCTGCCAGTTGTAGTTGCTGGGATGCGAAACTTTGATTCAGCGAGGTCAGTTGCTGGTTAATACCATCGAGTTGCTCCATCACCGGCTTGAGCATATCTCCTAACATTTTCATGGCGTCTGCTCCCTTTTCTGGTTTTGGGCTCTGACTACCCGCCGGTTTCGCTTTAAACTTTCTTTGCGAGGCCGCCATTTTATACGATGGTTTACAATTCCAAACCGCTTCTCACAGACTCGAAAAATTGTCACCTCGTTGTCAGCGCTCAAGTAGGTCTCTCCACATAAAATCGCTGTTTATTTCACCCCTACACCCTTTGTTACGCTTATCTGTCCATTCGCATAAGAGGCGTCCCTCTTTGCACTCCGCATTTCCCACGGGGGGGGGGGGTAATTCGCTTTTATGGCACATGATTCTCAAATTGTAATTGCTAGAACTGTAACAATACCATATGTTGTTAACAAAACTGTCAGAGTGTAATAGATTCTTTCAGAAGTTAAACGATGGGATTATAGGAATATATTTATCCTCAGTAGAGAACTTTGAGGATCAGGTTGAGGGATCAGGTTGCTAATCCTACAGAAGGAAGACAAAGGAATTTCAAAGCAGAAACTTGCATATGGACAACCGTTTATTTTGAACTCACGTTCATTGTCGGTCACTTCTCTGACCTCGCTCACAGTAAACGATATTCCGCTCGATCTCCAGCGTTTGTCCCAGTCAAAACAGCTTGTGCCCGAAGGCCACACAGCGGCAGGACCGTCAGGGCGGAGGGAAGCCTCAATTCTCCGGCATTTAGCCATCGAAGAGGCTGCCCCTCAAAAGCCCTATGGCCTGGAGCCTTTCGCAAAGTGCTACTTGAGGTAGCCCCCCCCCCATACCACTGGTGTGCGAGTCGCTTCCCTGAGGTCCGGGGAGAGCGACCGCCATCGCTGATCCACAAACCGGAAGCCCGGGGCCTCCATTGTTAAGGAGGTATCCAGGAGGACTCCCAAACTCCTAACCTCCAGCACTGGCACCAATGGAACCGCCCCGACTCAGGCACAGGACCTCCGTCTTCCCCAGATTCAACTTCAGCCGACTCAGTCTAAGCCAACAGGCCACGGCTTGCAGTGCCCGGTCCAGGTCTTTCGGTTTGGCAGGCAGAGCCACGCGTGAGCAAAGGTGCATGTCTGCAGCCCCCGCAGCCTCGATGCTGCTCCCCTCCGAGGGGGCTGGCCAGCGAGGAGGAGGCAAGAGCCATCCAGGCTCTGCCCCCGTGTGAACCTGCCTCTGTCTTGCCAGAGGGGAGGACCCCCCCCCCCGAGCACACATTTCTGGGGGAGGTGGAGTGCAGCGAAGCCGGCTTGGCACTCTCTCCATCTCTCTTCTGAAGCCCAAGGAGGCTGGGGAAAGGGGTTTCTCACCCAACCCAAGGTGGCTGCATTGTGATTGGCAAGGCGAGTGGGAAAGAGCTCCCCTCCCCATTTTCTTTTCCTCTCCTTCCCTTGGAGTCCCCCCCCCCCGAGCCAGGAGCGGCTACCGAGAATGCTTCTCCCCTTGGCACCAGTCCCACTTTGCCAGCTACGCTGGGAAGAGGAAAGCCGCTGCGGTGGCGGAAAGTGAAGATGGCACTCCGCCCCCCCCCCTCCTCACCAATGTATTCCTTATGCAGAAAGGCAACGGGGGAGCTGATCCCCTCCTTGGTGGCTTGGAAGGGAGCATGGTTTGGTTTTTGTAAAGTGTGCCTTGCCATCGGTTTGCATTTGCTATAGGCAGCAGAGGGGAGATTGAGCCACTAAGCTCAGGAGCTAGAAATACAGACATCACTGGGGGGCAGGATTCCGCATTTTGTGAAGGAAATGCACTCTGCACTTGCTCAGGAGCACTCTTGGCTCTGCTAACTATGTGGCCTTAGAGACAGAATGGGAGACAGATGGCAGGGCTGCCCCCTTGTTGCCACCCTAACAAAAAAATTCTGGCTACGGGGCCTCCCTGGTTGAAGGAAGATATATGGATCCCGTCCTGACAATGATCTCTGACTCACAAAAGCTTATGCTGGTATCAAGTTGGTTAGTCTAAAGGTGACACTTGATTTCTGTCTTCTTCTGCAACTGCTTGTATAATTTACACTGAGCTTCAATCTCTTCCAAATATTTGCATGTTCTCACCAGAGGCTACTGAATTACTAGCATCGGATTGCTGTCCTGTTAACACCGCTGAAGCTTTCCTGGTCTCCAATCTCTTGCACGTCTATGCCTCACAAAGGGGGCTGAGGCACATGCAAGAGAAGTTCTCTCCCTGAGTCCCTAGATGGCGCAATCCCCTCACTTCTGGACCGTCACTGCAGCCACTCCCAGCCATTTCCAATTGACTTCAACTTACTCCAAACGACTCCTGAACACATTTTTTAATTAGGGAAGGGAGGGGGAAATCATGGTTTCAATTATGTGCTGATCAAATCAGTCCTTTTAGTTTGATAAACACGCCAGTAATTAGGTGCAGAGCCTTAGAAGTTAAACAAAGTCTCCAAGCGGCCTCGGATGCCTTGGTGCCAAACGGGGCTGTGAGGACGGCGACGACTCCGGCAGTGACAATTTGGGATGTTAAGCAACACAAAGGACCAAGCTGATTTAAGCTTTGCAGTCACTCAGCAGGTTGTAAATCTGGCCTAATTTACATGTTAACTTTTGCAGCACAGTGGCTATTTCTCTGTTGGTCGGCTCCCAGGCTTGTAACAGTCATATCTGAAGTGTCACAAGCAGCCGGTCTCTAAGTAGATGGAGGTGCAGTACTGGAGGGGAGCCCCAGACATTACCT